GGGAGTGGGGGGGTGGCGGGGGTGAGGTGTGGGGGGTGATTTCTCACTTTCTGTCTCTCTATCTCTCCAGGGGGCACACTGCCCTATATAGCAAAATTTCTCTCTAAAAAAAAAAAGAAGAAGAAGAGGAAATGTTAAGAGCAGGTTTCATTTCAACATTTCTTTATTTACCATAGAGGACTGCCCATCACCCCACTAACCTTTTCTGCAAAACAAGATCATTGCCATGGTTACAAATTGCTTAATCAATAGCCTAGGAAACAATAGCAGCCACTCCTTACTGACCTAGCTGTAGCCAAGGTCCCTCATTGAGGAGATTGCACCTTGAACCTCCTGTGGTCATGACAGCTTCTCTCCCATGCAGATTCCCTTGGAAGGGACAAGATTAATTTAGATGTTTTAAAGGACAAGCATTAGGATCAGAGAACCTATTTTTAAACTTAAAACTTCATTGAATTTTGCCCATCTATATTTTATAACACTGATTCAAAATGCTAACATTAAAGATAAGAATATACACATAGGTTGAGTGTTAATTGGATGGAATTGTTCCAGTGCTTACGGTGGTCAGAAACCAGATTACTAAAAAGTCCTGACAAATTAAGTTAATTTTCTATTTCTATTAATTTTACTGTTTACTAGCTGATTTGAACTGCGGAAAAAGGTAATGAGATCTTGGATAGCATTAATAAGAACAAGGTAGGCAGAATGAGGAAGAAAGTTTTGTGTCTGCTTACCGACAGCAACCTACACATTGTAGTCACATTTGAATGTTCTGTTGAAGGGAAATATTGATAGACTGGCAGATGTGGCGGATATCAGAAGAGAGTAAGCCGAGGTGTGAAGTGGTCTGCAATGGCTGAAACAACTCCATTTATTCATCTTAGAGCTGAGTCTCCTTGGAAGAAGCATTTGACTGTCTTAGGAGATTTTAAGGTAAGCGAGGGTGGTAGATTGTATGTGATCTCAGAGGGCGTGTGGTGTGTGGTACTCGAAGTGCAGACTTCAGGTCCAGTTAACAACTTGCAGCAAAATCATCCAGATCTTATATACCTTGATGTCCCCGTCACAGTAACAGTTGCCAGGCTTGTTTTATGTTACCACTGCCTTCGAAAAACCTGTTTGTCAAACTCTGGTAGGGGATCATCTGCTCTAGGCCTTGGCAGGGGACATGGGGAGACAGGGCCATGGAGGAAAGCCAAGAGGCAAGGTGAAAATTCAGATTCCTGGTCCCAATCCTAGAGCTGTTGAATTGAGTCTTGGGATTTGAGACTCTTGAAAACTGCGTTTTTGAACAGGCTTCACTGATACTTACTGCAGTTTGTAGACACTATGGTTAACATATCCTGAGCTCTGACAGACAGATCTTTCTTAAAATACTTCTTTCATTCCTGGATCAATATCGGAATCAATATAAACACTGAATTTCTCAGCAGTAGAGTCAAGGACCTTGATTACATTGCCTCATCTCTTTTGTCTTTTATCTCTTTTTTTTTTTTTTTTTTTTTTTTTGGTTTTTGCAATAAGGGGCATGCACTAGCTGGAGAGAGAGAGAAAGAAAAAGAGAGGGAAAGTAAAAAATCACCCCATGGGGTGATGGTCACATCACAATCCCTTCTCTCCAGCTCTCCTCTTGAGATTTTGGGGCACAAATGCATACATGACTGGCATGATTTTCAAGTTTCTGGATCCAGGCCTCAAACCATGGTCAGCCATGTGGGAGTCCAGCACCTTAACCACCACACCACCTGCTGGCCTGCTTCTCTAACCCTAAAATGTTCTTTTCAGTCACTATCGTGCCTGTTTTCAGGTCTTAGTATCCTTACAGAGCTTCTAATGTTTTCAGTCTACTGCATTTACTTTTCCTCACACATTTAAAAATCCTCCTCATCAGTATCATGGGATTATTGTTACATATTTCTCTGGTTCACTGTTGCTTGGGGTATGTGGGTCTCTCCACCAGATTAGAAGCACCTGGTATGGTACCTAGCCCATGGTATTCCAGGCACTTGATACTTAAAAGGAAGATTTAGGCCATTTATGTCAAGTCTCACCATCTGAGAAGTGAATCTCATTTCTACCACTATTGGTGGGAAACTATTAGCATTCTGAGCACATCTCTTCTGCCTCTATCTTTGGAGAAGATTGACTTGAGGGACCAGCAGTTGGCGTAATGATTATGTCACTAGACTCCCACATGGTCGACCATGGTTCCAATCCCAGACCCAGTGGCTTGAAACTCACTCTGGGCGCGTGTGTGCCCAAGATCCTGAGAGGAGAATGGAGGAGAAGGGATTGCGGCGTGACCATCCCCCCTGGGGGGTGATTTCTTGCTTTCTGTCTCTCTGTCTCTCTCTGTCTGGCAAGCGCACACGCCCTATGACAAAAATATCTCCCCCCTCCCCCCAAAAAAAGATTAACTTGAGACACATTTTCTTTATTTTGAATGAAAAGATCATTCTCCCTCTACTTTTCACTTGTCAGGATTCTCTTCGAGTCTTCATAGAACAAACCTAATAAATACCTGCTATAAAACTTACAGTAAATATGCAATGCTCTCAGAAGCTGACCCACATGGGAAGGTTCTGGGTTCACATCCAGATAACTCCCTGAATATTATGGGTATGTAAATGCCTATAATGAAGTACTAGAAGAGGCTAGGATTGTCAAGACTGTTGGGGGGGGTGTTGCTATCTTTCTCTCTCCCTCTTGCTTGCTCATTAAATAAATAAATAAATAAATAAATAAATAAATAAATGTAAAAAATTTTTCACATATTCTTTTGCCTTTCACAAGCCTCATTAAACTTGCTTTCCTAATGTGCTTACGGAATTTCTTGTTACAGTAAGTCTGACTAGAAAAGAGAGTAGCGGGACCAGCAGATAGCACAGTGGTTAGGTATCTGGACTCCCACATAGTTGACTGCGGTTTGATTCCAAGACCCAGTGGCTTGAAACTCATGCCAGGCACATGAGTGTACATGCCCAAAATCCCAAGAGGAGAATAGATTGTGGTATGGCCGTCTCCTCTAGGGGATGATTTCCTGCTTTGTGTCTCTCTGGCAAGTGCACATGCCCTGTAGCGAAATCTCTAAATAACAACAACAACAAAAACAGTAGCATGACTAGCAGATGGCATGGTGATTAAGGCACTGGCCTCCTCCATGGCTAACTGCAGTGCAAGTCCCAGACCTGGTGGCTTGCTCTCTCCCTGTAGCTCTCTCTGTCTCTCTCTGTAGTGAGCACATGTGCTCTATAGCAAAACTAATAGCAAGAAATAAAATAAGATACGTAATTATTTTTTAAAAAGAAAAGAAAGTAGCATTGATGGAAAATAAAATATCACAGTAATTTTTTTTTCTTTTTTGAGAAAAATCTAGTGGATATCCAGAGCATACTAAATAACTCTGATATCCTCCCTCCTCCCTTCAGCATACTGACTGCTACAACTAAGAGGTTTTGAAAATGTACATTTTGATGCATTTCTCTTTTAGAATACATTCACAGTGAACTTTCTAAAGTGCTTTGTGATTGCCCCACACTGTCAAATTCTATAAGAGCCAAATTGATAATATTGACATAGTTGACACTGTACATTATGATTTCAATCTGCCAAACCATCTCACTCTGATTCATAAAATTAAAAATAACTACCACACCTCTGGCATTTTTCACTTGAACTTGTTCTTTCTCTTTTTATTATCTTCTTCTGAAATTTTCATTCAGAAACCTAAAATGAGTACATTTGTTTAACAATGTCTATGCCTGATAGCCTAATCCCAGTTAACCCCCAGAGGCAGCAAAAGTAGGAATCACTGAAGCAAAAAGGACTTGTCTGACAATTCAGGTCCATCCTTTGTGTGTGGAAACACATTCTAAGCCTCATGCTCGCTGTCATCTGTGGCAGGATAGATCATGTATCCCCTCTGGTTCCCCTCAGCAGACAGTCTGGGCCAGCTTGATGGCTAAATGGTAACCTGTTGCCCAAGTGGTGCCAGACCCTTATGGAAGATCACAGGTTCGGCTCTTCCATTGACCTGTAGATGCTGGTCATGCACACCCATGATCCTAACTGTCTGCGGTTGCTGAGGGTAGGGAGATGGGATCACCATGTGAGACTCTGTGTAGTGCCTCTCTCTCTCTCTCTCTCTCTCTCCCTCCCTCTCCCTCTCTCCCCCTTCCTCTCTTTCTCTTACTCTCATGAAAGAAAGAAATTTTAAAAAGAGGGAGATTGTTGTTTAGATTAGGAATATCATAGTGAATGACATCTGCTTTGTTCTTTTATTTTATTTTATTTTGGATAGGCTTTTCGCTATAGGGCGTGTGCGCTCACCAGACAGACAGAGAGACAGAGAGACAGAAAGCAAGAAATCATCCCCAGGGGGGATGGCCACGTCACAATCCCTTTTCCTCCATTCTCCTCTCGGGATCTTGGGCACACATGCACACGCGCCCGGCGTGAGTTTTAAGCCACCGGGTCCATGGGACCGAACCATGGTCAACTACGTGGAAGTCCAGCGACATAGCCATTATGCGAACTTCTGGTCCCAACATCTATTTTGTTCTTGAAGAGTTTCAAGTGCAGAGGTTCATGAGGCCTCTCATGCTGTGGGTGTGGATCAGTGTTCACTTCCCCTTCTCCCTTCAGGTAAGGGGATAAGTCTCCTCCTCGGCTGTAGGGACAGCGGACTCCTAGACATTGGCAATCTGGTGTCCTAGGTTTTTGTAGAACCCATGGAGCATTTCTTTATGTTACTGTTCGAAGTTGCTTGTCACAGAATTATTCTTGTTGGTATTGGATTCATGTTCGTCTCCCTGGGTGAGCTGACAGAGTACAGGTACCAGGTGTGGTTTTACCTCACACAGTGCCTGGTGCCTAGACAAGGTTGGCAGTCAGTGAACATTGGAGTCATCAGTGAGAGATCCACTTCATATTGGCAATTGATGTTTCCTTCACCATCTGCCTCATATGTTCCTGTTCCCAGGCTATAGTCTAGTTCTCCTTCTGAGTGTGTCCTGTCAAGGTCATCCCTGGCTTCCAAAAGGCCATGAGTCTGAGAGTCTTCCCACTTCTGGCCTGCCAAGCTCACTTTCTCTGATCTTGTAACTCTCTGGGTGGCCTAAACAATGCTTCACCCTTACATGTCTATGGTGCTTACTGTGTTCTTACTTTGATGATTCCTGCAGACACAAATCCACCCCGTTTTTGCAGAGACCAGCACTCAGTTCACTAAAGAAAAACAAAGAGCAATTATTAGGTTTGGGATGAAAGGGTGAACGAGGCACAGGTATTTTCACAGTGCAGCCACAGTCCAGGGCAAGGAGGAGGCAGACCTGGAACAAATAGTCATGATAGCGAGCAACACGAGTTCTAGTCCACACATATGACCAGTTCGGAGCCCAGTGATCAAGGTGGGAGGCCCAGCTTCGGTTACTCTGAGCTGCGTGTGGAGGCCAGCTTGTTGCTGCCCCACCCTGGGTGGAACTGCAGTCACATATGGCTGAGTTTTCTGTCCTTGGTGCTCAGTGTCTCTGACTCAGTCTGCTCAGGATGCCATAACAGAACACCACAGACTGGGCGGTTTAAACAGGAATTTATTTTCTCACAGTTCTGGAGACTGGGAAGTTCAAGATCAGAAAAAATGGTTTCTGACGAGGGCTTTCCTCCTGACTTGTAAACAGCCATTTTCTTGCTGTGTCCTCAGATAGCCTTTCCCCTCTGTGTAAGCACACAGGAAAAGAGAGTCTTCTGGTGTCTTCCTCATCTTATAAGGAAGGGAGTCCTATCAGACTAATGTCCCATCTTTATGACCTCATTTAGCCTTTATTATCTCCTGTAGATCTTATCTCTAACCACAGTCATAGTAGGGGTTAGAACTTCAACATGTGACTGGGGGGGGAAGGGGGAGGGCACGCAATAAGCCTGTAACAGTCCAAATGGCTGGTACCTGCCATATGCATTTGCTATGACCCCCTGAAATTTTGCCTCTGCGTCTAACCACCCCATTAGTCCCTTCCTTATATATGTTTCTCTCTGCATCTACTCCTAATTAACATGTGATGTTAATTTCATGGTGTATGCACATACCTGAGTGAAGTCCCCTCATGGTCACAGTACTGATTGTGACCCTAGGTGACTTAGGAAACCTTTCTAAGCTTCACTTTTCTCAGTGATATGAGGTTGCCTGTCTCCCAGGCTGTTGGGAGGATTGAGTGCAACAACATAGATAGAGCCTTTGTTGTATTTGACCCTTTACTTGGCTCTGGTCAAAAGTTGATTTTGCCACTCAAATTATTCCCTCGCTACTTTCATTCACCAGCTAAGCTTTGGGAGGATGAGAACTATGCCCTGTCCTTCCCTTGCATCTCTCCAGTAAAGATTTCTGTCCCAAAGGCTAGCAGGTAGAATGCCCAACTCAAGGCAAAGTGGTGTGGTAGAGAATGACCAAGTCGAAAGAGCAAAATGAAGCGGCCTACAAGGATTCCCCTTTTGAATAGAAAAGGCTGTAGTGGGCCTTTTCTTGGTATTTGCAGCCAGGAGCACTAGAAAAACTTTTAAAAGAGAATAAGCCATTCCCAGTGGCAGAACACAATTTTGTTTGTTGTTATACTAGTCATTCATGAGGAATATCTTTGCTTTGTTCTGGGTCATTTACCTTGAGTTGGAAAGTTGCAAAATGAATTAGCCCGGAGGACATAAGTGGGGGGATATGATTTGTATTAATATTTTTTGAGATATGATGTTGGTATGCAACTATAATAACCAACACATTGAAAAGTTAATTCAGCA